CGACATCCACGTCAACATCACTCGAGAACTTCTCACAATCCATATCATAATCATTCGCAGGGTCACCGCCACTGTTGTGGCGACTTCCTCCGCATCTTCAGAACTCTCGACCAATACATTTTACATTGACATCACATTTCTCGCTGTCTCCATTGCAATGATCTTCACCAACGTGAATCAATGTTCACTGTTAGCAGATATGTTGTCTCCCTCGGCAATGCCTTCGACTGCCATTGATGGCCAAAGTTTCACTTAAAAAATACCGCAGAAACCGTGAGTACTAATCGCCTAAGATTAGTAGCAGCCGTATATAGAATATTTAGAAAAGAATAATAAGAATAATATAAACGAAATAAACGCTAATTTCTGAATCAGAATCAAAAGAAAGTAATTCAAAATATCAATGCGAATTATTGGATACCATAGTCAATTGTCCAGAAAACAAATATAAAACAAAACTACTTTAACCAATACATAATGGGAAAAACGAAATATTTTGATATTTTACAAACGAACCTTTTACATAAGAATAAAAATTCATATAAATAAATTAACAAAATTTATTTTAGTTTTAAATACCAATTTTACAATTGATAACCCTTTTCATTTTATGGTAAAATAAAAGAACTGGAAACTATTTCGGCAAGCTTAAACAATCTGGTTGCGTTCACATGTAAAAAGTGTATTTTGAGCTATTTTTTATTTTAAAATGTGTCATCAAATGCGTCTATTCTCTAAAGTCTCCTTTGTCCAACAAACCAACGCGGTCTCTGATAACAAGTCAAATCCTCGCAATGCCACCCACTCGTGTGCTGAATCCCGCCATAGCCATCACCGTTTAGTGGCAGCCTCGCCCATCGCTCGTCACTCGTCTTTTTGGGCGGCCCGGCGACGCGGACGTGCCACGCGGCGACAGCGCCGAAGACAAATGACTTACGCCCGCGCGCAGCAACCAACCTATGTATACCGGCGGTGCTTCTTACGCGGGTTAACGGACGTTCGGGCCGATGGGGTAGGCGGCGGCTTGTTGTGTAATGCCTGTGTGGTATGTTTGTGGTGGAGCCACAGTAGGGTAGATTGTCTAGTGTACTGTATTTACCTGCACCGTATGCTCTACCAGGGGAATTTCTCCCCCGGGTGGGCACCTAGGCGTTTGCCCCTATCAGCACCCCCCTCCAACGCACAAGTACGCCGATAGGCTGGTATCTGGGTCCCGCCAGAACGCTGTTTATCCTCTCGGTAACCTTCCCATTCAATGTCTGGGTCGAAAAAATGAAACAATTATCCATTCAAATATATTACTGTCCCTTCACAAAAATGTTTATAAAAGGAAGATATCAAAAAAGAGAATTAACAAGAAATAAAATAAGAAGTACAGTACAAAAACAAATTTCAAATCTTGGTTGTTTGATAGAAGTCATCGGGCAAACATAGTTTCGTATAGAATCAAAATTCTTCGTTAAACTTTGATCACGCTTTATGGTACATTCCCCACTTCAACATGTGCTACACTCCTTTCTGGATTTGGAGGAGGCTTTCCAGGCGGAAAAGCTCATGGAGGCGCAATTGGATATGCTAGCGCGGAGATTTCGCAGGGGCCAGATAGTTTTATTTATATTGTTCTCTTGCGAAATTCTTTTGAAATTGACTGCAACTCAACATACACGAAAATACTACATTTTGGTAGTAATTTGCAAGAAATATCAATGCATATAGACTACATTACATAACCACTCACATTCATAAATTATCCAGTATTATTAATTTACTGGTAAACAATAACATTTAATAGTTGAAATCACTGTAGTGGAATCAGTCTCGCAAACAATTTGATGCCCGCCTAAATTTACCTCCTCTTTTCTTCTTAAAGATATTGGAAGTGGAAAAATAAATAATCCCTGAGAAATGTAACACCGGAGAACTACGAAGTTCAAAATTAATTAAAACACATGGTAAACTTTGAAGTTGAGTGATTTTATAGCACTTTCTTAGTAATAACAAATATTCACTTTCTGATTATGTGGAAGTAACACCATTTAATTACATATTTTTTTATTATGCACCTGGGAAGTGTTCCTCTAAATAAAATATCGAATATGCTGAATGAGAAAAACAATATAAATCTAGAGAACGTAAATCAAACAATTCACTCATTAATCGGCACGATCGAAGGTGCTTCTTCAGTACCTTGTTCAGTGATAAGATATCATTTCCAAATGAGAGTGTGTCTAGCCACGTGATTTACAGATTTCGAAGAGTCCTCCTCCGTATTCAAGGCCGATCACTCGTCCAGTCTGCTTTGAAGCTCTGGGCCACGTACTTTCACATGCAAGCACTGTACAGGATCTCACAGACTCCGTCGTCTTTGGTTCACTTCATTTTGTGTGGGATGAGTGAAACAAAGTGTTTGTTGTGAATGTCAAACTTCAGGTCAGTGCAATCATTTGCGTTAAACACATCCGAAATAGCATTTATTCAAATAGTAACCTAAGATTCAGGAAGAAAAAAATTGTTATAAAAAATGGAATAATGAAATAGGACAATCATTCATATTTTATTAAAATAGAATGTAACATGTGTCATAATATATAATCTTCGGTTGGGGGTTAAAAATCAATTAAAGCGTAAAATTACGTTATTATTCTTGAGGATGTTGTCGTTAAGCCCGTTACTATATTTTTTTAATTTTTGTACATTAGCTTTTTTTCTTTTCCTTTCAAGATTCAAATAATGCATATTCTTTGACGACGTTACGCTACTGTATGTTACGACGGCGCGATCGCTATAGGAAATCGAGACACTTTACTCGTGGCTCCTTTCGTGACGCAAGTTATGGTGAGACGTTTGTAGCATGGCCCTGTGGCGTGAGGCGGGCTACTGGCACCTTGAACTTGACATCAACGTTCTAACGTAAAAATAGGAAGTTTGTGCACGCCATAGCGGACAGCACTATCTATCTTCTGCGCATGCGCAGATGCATTAAAGTGATGCTAAACTTAAACTGCGCATGCGCAGAAGATCGAATGTACTTTAACGTTCGAAGATACACTAACTCCATAATAGTATGGTCAGTATAGCGTACACTAATCGACAACTGCATCTAGACCACTCCACACGGAGTTTTTGCACGGCGAAGCGTTACAGCAAACCGACAGCACTATCGAACTTTACCTGCGTGCACTTGTATACGCACGCGTGAGCAAACGTATACTTCCACGCGTATACTTCGATTTATTTATTGTTCTTTGACAGTTCATGTCATCCGATATAACAGTTTCCCACCACGAAAGGTCGATTTGAACTCCATTTGTCTTGAACTGTTGAGCGGAAGGAATCTCACGCAGTTTACTTGATTACTATCTACATAATTATGTTTCCGGGTTACATCGAATTATGTAGAATCCGGCCGTGAAAGCCTACGTTTTATGTTAACCACATTATTGTTGCAATATTTTACATTTGTAGTAGCCGTAAAAATACAGATATGGAGGTTGCGGATCGTTACCATTTAGTACAGCTACATTTTGTACCTTTTTTCACTAAAATGGACCAAAATGCACATAAAAACTCAGCTGTAAGCTGTTCATCAACGTTATTATCTTATCCTAACATAAGATCGTTTTCAAATAGTTCCGAAAATTCTACCACAAAATCTTCAACAATTACATTTGATTCTTTCCTCGTATTATAATGCTTAAGAACGTAAATGTGCAAAGTCAAATGGTCTTGTGGTTCTGTTCTCTACTGTTGGTCACTGTTCTGGTCTTCTGTTCTGAGCGAGACATTCAATGAAATGAAGAATATCTTATCTTTTAGAGATGCTACTTGAAAAACGGACGTAAACTCATACTATCTGCTGTTTGCACTATGGGTCGTTTCTCCAAACTTGATCTCGGTTTTGTCCCACTGAAGTACATCGGTGCACACAATTATGAAGATCTTTTAAAAAACGAAATCGAAACCATTTTATAATATTACGTTTCGCAGCAATATTCAATGAAACAATAACGGCGTCGTCGTATTGCTTCGTTGGCTTCTGAGGCTGGAGTTAGTATCTACTTGGCTGTCCGGGAGACGCCACATCCTAACCACAGATACCAACTTTTGCTGTGACCTTAAAAAAAAAGATGATCCATTCTTTCGATCAAGTGCGTTGACTTTCGACGCGTTTCGATCACTTGTAGGGACACTGGCTACTTTTTCATATCCTTCATTATTATTATTATTATTATTATTATTATTATTATTATTATTATTATTATTATTATTATTATTATTATTATTTATCATTATTATTTTTACCATATAAAATAATATTTTAAAAAATAGTTACAGGATAGGAATAAATGGAGACATTGGAAAAAATTAATATTAAGACCCCTTGCGATCCATTATTTGGAGCAAGAGAGTTGTCATTCGACATATCTGTGTTTGCTGATGGGAAACGGATCATTTTGTTTCGTACCCTCCCACGATAATTTTAATTGCAAACACCATAATTATACTGCGATTTAATAGTGAGGACGATGACATTAGATCATTGCTACATCTCCTGCGTTATAAAATGAATCTTTTTAACAGTGGTAACCACATATCTGGGGTCACGAGCTCCGTCGAGAGGAAGTTCGCGAATTAATTAAAAATATTCGAAATATAAACACGAAAATGCTTTTAAAACTATTTAAACAATCGTAGACACCACACTAAAGCTAGTTTTACGAAATGTCATTGATATTAACAAGATCTATTCTATTTTACCCGATTGTACGGTCCTCGAATATTTGCTTCACAGTTGTTAATATTCCATCTTATGTTTAAAGCTTATTACGAAAAAGATAATATTATTCCAGGTATTTTACAAATTCATGTAGGCTTATACCATTGAAATTTCAGTTTGCAATTAAACATCACTCTTTCTTTTGTAACTCCTCTTGCTCTTTTAGCCAAGTAATGCATTTGATGCTGTTTTTATTTTTTTTATTTCTTTTACTATTTGCAGGAAAATGGGATCTAGCAAAATTCTCGTGTGTTTGGCACTATTCGTCATTGCGGTGACCGGTCACCCATCTGAATTAGTGAACAATTCCATCAGTGACGATGACGCAAAACTTCAACTTCGAGCGGGTGCAGACGATTACAGACTGCCCTCAGAAATTGTCTCGATTTCCGGCTACGATATTGTGATTAAGCCGGACTTTTTCAACAACGGAGAAGTCGTCACTTTTACAGGTACCAATGCAACAAATATGGGACTGAACGGTACAATGTTCAATGTCAAAACAATTCTGGAACCGATATCAGAAGTTACAGCGCATGTGGTGTTGTGATCAGAGCGCTCACCTTCCGAAGGATTTTTGCACTCAGCTGACGTCACGGAGCAGGGAGACGCCTACATTCATGCCGTCTAAAAAACATCGACTTTCTGGCTCTTCCATAGGCAGCCTCGTCTAAAAAAATGCATTCACATTTCGTGTAAAGAAGCACACTAGAAAACCCATGAAACAAATAACTAACGCAAAGAAAACAATTTTTTTAATTTTAAATTTTTGGCGATTACAATCTTTAGGTCGCTATTTACCCTACCCGATATTTTCTGAACAGCGATAGTATACGTGGATGGCTCTACAGCCCATTCGCAGTGTCTCCTCGTGCGTCTTGCTCGTATGAGTAGGTTATATGTCGTGTAGCTTCCAGCTCGTGTGCCATTCGGAGCGGCCACGAGAGTAGTTATTTTTAACTATCCGTAGGCGATAAAGATGTGGTGTATCATAGCCATCTTTAACATTCTGAATAAATTAAATACATTGTATTTTTCTTATTTAATTTCAAAGTGTTTAAATTAAGATTAATTCACTCAAAAAACAGTAAAAAATGTATGTGACTTAGGGGGAGAAGATAACGCGCGTTTTCTTGAGTTCCAAAATATAACATAAATAAATAAACTTTAACAAAAATATTAATATAAATAAATAAAAATATATTTTAAAAACCGCAAGATTATCGATATTTGAAAAATATGCATTTTCGTTTCCGAATTATAGAAAACATTTGCATCGGTACACGAATTGCAAGTATGATTTTTCTGCATTGCTAACAAAATAGCAACTCGCCCTTACCTCTATTCTTACCATTACAAGCAAAAGAAGAGTTCAACAAAACGTGCGCATAGTGAAGATACATTTACGTCCAGAAGCAAAACACGGGGCCATCTCAGCATTTACACAAGGGATCAGGGAAACTGGACAAAAACCTGATCGAGATGTGGGCCATTGACCCGGAAGCTGAAGTACATTATTTGTTACAAACATATTAAGTCTTTTAAAAAAAATATACATTACAAATGTAAACTAAATCATTATATATCACAGTTTTGTTAAAATAAACATTATTATTCTTTTTGATAATCAAATATTTAATTTCGTATTAACTAGGCTGTCCGGGTGACGCCACGTCCATGGCGAAGGTGCCGACGTTTCATGGCGAAGGTGCCGTAATGCTAGGCATTAAGCCCTGAGGAAGGTCGCAGAATGGCGACCGAAACGTCGGCACCTTCGCCATGGACGCGGCGTCACCTGGACAGCCTAGTAAATACTGACCCCGGCCGCGGAAGCCTACGCTCTCATTTAATTTCGTTTCTACTAATTTTCCAGGGGAGGTCGTCATCAGCGGCTACTTCACAAGCAACGTGAAGCGACTCACCTTGCACGCCGGAAACAACCTGCGGATTGTTAACGTGCGCATCGACTACAAAGGTGGCAACGGCGTCACCATCGACTCGACGGAACGCGACGCGGCCCGCGAATTCCTGCACATCAACTTCAACGGCAACCTACTAACTTCTTTCTTCATCAGGATAACTTACACTGCTACTTTCTCTGACGACTGGAGTGGATTCCACAAAACGTTTTACAAGGATGGAGCCCAAGAAAGGTACGAGTATCACCGCTCAACCTGCTCACATATGTTTGAGCGTAGGCTCCCGCGGCCGGAGGCAGTATTTACTTGGCTGTCCGGGTGACGCCGCGTCCATGGCAAAAGTGTCGACGTTTCGGTCGCCATTCTGCGACCTTCCTCAGGCCGTAATGCCAAACGTAGCATAGACGAGGAGTCACCCCGACAGCCAATTATATACAAACATATGTTTGGCGTCAGTGAAAAAAAAGTCAGAAAAATGCAATTACAAACTAGATTCGAGCCAACTCGTGGCTCAGAACGAAAGTCGCTTGCTTTTCACCAAGGGGGTCTGGATTCGACTTCCGGACAATCTCGTGTGAGATTGGTTCCGACAAAACGAGCTTGAATGCATGACAGGGGCTAGTCCAACCTCTGTGAAATGTCTTAAACCCTCCCACTGACCCAATTCGTTTTCAATTCTGGTCGCGGTATAGTGACGCAGAATCGCGCGTAAAGAGGCGCGTATGCGGAGATGCTACCTGGCGGTACTCTTGACAACTGACTTCTCTCACATATACCCCAAACGTTACAATCAATATGTAGTCGCTAATGACCTCGAAGTTAACGCGACCTTAAGTAACCAAAGTAACAAAAAAGTAGATTCTCCTAGCCCTGTTAATTAAAAAAATTAATAACGATAACAATTAATTAATTCAAATAGTTTTTATTGACTTGTAGAAGAGAGTATCTCGAAGTAAGTTTTTACGTATTAGTCCAGATTGTATTAGTACCATATTTCATGGTGCACCATTTTACTTTTTACGAGGACAGCTATAGTATCAGAAAATTATTGTAAATCAGTACTTGATGTGAATTGTGAAAGTTAAATTTCGTGAAAGAAGTCTAGTAAAAGAAAAAGTATTATCAAATTGTATGTTTCTTCGAGTTTCTTACTTTTTCTCACGTTTTCTAAAAAAATCTTATCTAATGTTTCATCGGCTTCATCGTGATTCATTCAAATAATCTTTTTTCGAAAATTCACAATAAAATAATTCCAAATGTTTCAATTTTCCAGACTGTTACTTCTGACACAATTCGAACCAACAATGGCCCGCAGAGCATTTCCATGCTTTGATGAACCCAGCATTAAGGCAACATTCAAGTTAACAATTTACGCTCCGAAAGGCTACGGAGCATTGAGTAACACACCACTGGACAAAACAGAAACCTACTGGGGAACAACGTAAGTAATGAGGACACTTATTATACAGCAAACTGATTTTTTTTCCATGATACAAATAGTTTACAGTTTTAGGATGTAACTTTTTAATACCTGTCTGGATTTTCCTTTTTCAACATTTTTGATAAAACACAGGATTAGTTTTTGTTAAAAGACGACGCCCCATTTGAAAATTGGAAGAAATGAAATCAGAATATTTGATTTTTGCAGGGAGACGACGAAATATGTATTTCAGCCTACTGCTAAAATGTCTACGTACACATTTGGATTCATGTTGTACGAACAAGATGGCTACAGCCCAACTCCCTTCGGTGTTGTTTCCCAATCGGAGACCAGCATCTTTTCCTGGGGCCCCAAACGTGCCATCGAAGCAGGAAGAGCCGACTACAGCTTACCCACTACTGCAAACGCATTGGCCGCTCTCGAACAATACACAGACCTTCCGTTCCGAAACTTCCAGTACAACATGAGCAAGCTGGACCAGACGGTCATCCCGAACCTTCGGCTGCAGGGCAGGGCGAACTGGGGCCTCATCAGCTACCGCGCAGACCGTCTGTTTGTCGATCCAACGGTAAGTCAGGATACCTAAGAAGATCAATTTATTGACAGAAGAACAAGGCGCACCTTTCCTTCAACTGGCCTCACTGCTTGATATTTTTAAATTCTCTATTACATTTGTTTTCAATGTCACTATTTTTTCCCCTTTAGATGAAAGGTAGTCTGATAGCGTCAAGTTATTTTTATATTCGATATAAGAGATGGTTTAAGGGCACTAAACTAGGTCTTCGTTTATTTACGGGACTAGTTTAGCGATACTAGTTCACTTTGCCGTTTCAAGTTGGGATCAATAGCAGTATTGTACCGTTTACAGAACATCCTACAGGACCTGATAAATTCCGCCCTGCCCGTCCGCATTATGTGCATTGCAGGTTGTACAATATTCATCTCTTCTTCTCGGGATACGAAGAGCTCTTTATCCATACATCACACTTTTTCGCATTGTTTGTAATACAGTATATAAACCAAATTCGGTTGCAATTGATTCACGCGTAACATAGTCACATAGATTTATTTATTCCATTAGTATATCTAGTAGAGGCAAAAACAGAGTTGTAGATTTTCCTTTAATAGTGTTAACGATTACCTTCGTGTTAGCTTCTGTAGCTGTGTGACGAAGAAAAGCTCCGGCAAGCGAAGTTTCCTAGTAACGATTAAGAATAATACATGTTCACCACATGCCTGTCTTATCCCGAAACGTGGGAACTAAACCTGTCCCAGGCCCAAGCCACCGTTAGCTAGCCGTCCAGCTAGCGGGGGGACACCATTAGCTAGCCGGCAAAGTTGGACAGTCGACTAAAAATGCCAAATACATAGATTCATTTGTTTTTTATTTAATTCGTTTCATATGATTTCATTTTTATATTTTCATATATTACGAAATTTTAACAATATTAACGAAGGGACAAATGACGATATATATATATATATATATATATATATATATATATATATATATATATATAAAGTTGATATTTTCCCGCGGCAGGAGGGCACCGAGGCGGACAAGGAGCTGGCGGAGGAGCACATCGCCAACGAGCTGGCCCACCAGTGGTTCGGCAACCTCGTCACGCCCTCGTGGTGGGACGACGCGTGGCTGAGCGAGGGCTTCGACACCTACTTCCAGCACTGGGTGGTGGACCGCGTGCACCCCGATTGGCGCGCGCTGGAGCGCCTGGCGGTGGAGCAGCAGCAGCGGGCGCTGCTGATGGACGCGCGAGACGCGGCCCCGGCGCTCACCGGCGGCGTGTCCACGCCCAAGCAGATCGCCGGCAAGTTCAGTGACTTGATCACCACCAAGGGTGAGTATACATGTATTAATCGTTTGCCGAAGACGCGGGCCGCGCCGCCCGGGGAGTCGAGGGCCCGTTCGCCCAGTGAAGCGCTAACTCAACTCCCGTGCTGACATACGGGAACTATCCCTGCGCTTCACTTACCTTAATAAAGATGCTAAAAGTGTTGTCCTTGGCTCGAATGCATTTCCGGCCCCTTCGGATTATATTCTGATTTACTCTTTGAAGTAAGTCTCGAGGAGATATTTTTCTGCAGAAGACAGATTTTTCTGCATCCACCTAATCTTTCAAGTAACCGCCAAGGACAAACTTATAAGGAGACAGATCAAGCGATCTAGGAGGCCATAACACACCACTATCGTCATTGTAAAGTTTTTTAAGGGTTCGGGAGTCGAACAGCTGTGTGAGCAGTCGCCGAATCCTGTTGACAGTAATCAGAGGGGCTTTCTTCTGGTGCCAACTGTTGGAAGAATGTGAATATCGGATTTGTGTAAATATCAGCTGTAAGAATAATCTTGAAAAATAATTCTATATTCTTGTCGATCTTAACTCACACTCCGATGTTTACGTCGTGAAGTGGTACTTCTTGAAGCAGGTGAGGGTTTTCTGCACTTCAATAGCGGTTGTTTTGACTGTTGACGTGTGACGAGTGGATACTCATTTTTGAAATCACGCTTCATAAAAAAAATCAGAATATGTTCCGGAAGTGCCAAGCAAGTATTCTAGTCTGAGGAGACCATTTTCAGCATCTTCTTTAACGTAAGTTAAGCGCAGCGGTAGTTGCTGTACGTCACAACGGGAGTTGAATCAGCGCTTCGTTGAGCAAGCGAGTCCTACACTCCCCCGGGTGATGCGGCTCGAACCTTCAGCGAACGATAAAATGTTTACACAACTACAAGTTGTTTGTGAATAAATTTTACAAATTTCTAGGTCATATAGAAAGGTCGAAAGTAAGCACATTTGCCAATGAACATATGCTGGGAATTGAATACAAAGGACTCTGCGCGCACGCCACGCACACACACATACGCATGCACCACCACCCACACACACACGTATGTGTAGTGTGAGTGTTGTGTGTGTGGTGTTGTTGTGTGTCTTGCTACACGAGTCTGCGCGCGTGTGTGTGTGCCCTGATTTGTAACCCCATAACCACAGATATTTGGCAGGTCACTTTTCGACACAGATATTCGTCTCGTTAAGGAGATTTCATGTACCAGCCGAAAATCTACTCATATAGAAGTTCCTAAAAATATTCTTAAAAAGGGGCAATTAAATATTTAAAGGCTTTATTTCTCTCATTAACACGTTAGTAGAAATTTCCTAAAATATTCTTAAAAAAGAGGCAAATAAATATTTAAAGGCTTTGTTTCTCTCATTAACACGTTAGTAGAAATTTCCTAAAATATTCTTAAAAAGGGGCAAATAAATATTTAAAGTCTTTATTTCTTTCATTAACACGTTAGTAAAAATTAATTTTCAGGTGCATCAATCATCCGAATGCTGAGCAATCTCCTAGGAGGAGACAATTTACGGGACGGATTGCGAGGCTACCTTACAAGCAAGTAAGTCTTAAAATGCCAGGAAAAGCATCAATCCAGAAACCCAGATTTGTTCTTGAATTATTTATTTACATTGTACAAATTTTCCGTCCTAACAATCGGTTATGTATTCGAACTTCTGACAAATAAAAGCACATGATAAATGCCCTTTTTACTGCTATGAAAAAAATTAATAAATGATAATAATAAATGTGAGTAAAATTACAAAAGATTAATGGAATTATTTAATCTTTCTAGGAGATACTTAACAGCTACAACAAGCGAACTAAAAGCAAGCCTGCAAAATAACCGTCCAGTAAACGTAACATTCGATTTAAGAATGTTTCTGACGAACTGGACAGACGTTCCTGGGTACCCTCTGCTGACGATGACAAGAGATTACTCGGAAGGAAAAGCGACAGTGGTGCAGGTAATCTTATCAGTGGCGCACAGAGAGGGAGTGTTTTGCCACATCCCTAACTTAATTGGCGCTACTATTGTTTAATTCAAAACAAATAAAGTCATTTACTTCTAATTCAAAATAACCCGCAAAGTTATTTCTGTTGCATGGATAGACGAATTCGTTTAAGCATTGTAAGAGAGTGGGGGGGGGGGCTCTTGTTTGAAATAAAGGAACCCCGTGTATCTACTACCTCAAGACCCTTGTTTTCTCTAATAATATGAGCCCCTGGATCATATTGTTAACGAGAAATGATCATATAAACAAAAATTAAAAATTCAGATACCAATACGTTTCGATAAATCCACTTTGCTATTTACGGACGTAAGAGTAAGTAAAGGAAGAAAATGAAATATTACACATGGTGTACGCAGAAAAAATGTGTTTCCCAATAACACGTCATCTTTCATCATTCATGTAAAGGACTTTTCAATAACTGCGCGTATGTGTAGGTTTTCGTTTGTTGGTAAGTTATGAAAAAACGTTAGACACTGCTTGATGTATGCGCGGTATAACGGAATTCACAAACATAATCAGCACTATTTCCATAACAGTTTTTTCGGGTTTATCACACTGCCTTGTCTGAGTACGTATATTTAGATATGATACGACTCTAATGATATTATCATAGTTTGACTCGGACAGCGTTGGCATATGGCATCTGTAACATGGACGCGTGACTGTTCCGCCAACAGCGAGCACTCCTGATTTAGAATAAACAGCAATGATTCGATTTCTTTAATCGACTAGTAATCAGATGGTACATCCGGTATAAACCTGAATGTAAGACTTTCAACAAAAAATGATGGTGCAGACGCACGTGTCCGCTCCAGCACCCAGATCGAGAAGGAAGGTCACGGTCATAATACGTAGTAATAATACAAATATGTGAGAAAATAACTAGGTGGTCAAACAGCACATACTTTCACGCAAAATTACGGGAAAAGTACCCACTTTTTCGAAAAATTGTACATGACCTTATTTTAAAATCTATCTTTAAGGAACAGATTTCATTAATGGAAAGATCTCTATTTTCATAATTGTAGTTCACATTTTCCCGTAAATCGATTTTTTCGTATGAAGGACCCACAAAAGGTGGGTTCTGAAACCACCACGTGTTAGAGGATTCCCCCCCCCCCATCTTTAGCACCTGAATTTATCCACTTTTTCGTTACCAGAGCCCTGTAATAAGAGTTTTCTGCCAAAAATTCGCTTTTGTTCAGCATTACATAATTTTCTATCTACTGCGTAATCGATAGCGAGAAAGTTAAAAGAAAACAATGTGGATTTGTTTTTACATTCATGTAAATATAGACTAAACATAATTATTGACACACGATCTGCTCTTCACATTCTAAAAGCTTTGTGTATTCTCCAGAGGCAGTTCCACGCGGTAAGCGGTTCCAGCGTGGAGAATTACGAGTACTACGTACCGGTGACGGTGAGGCAATCTGGCATCGTCCAGAAGGGCACCTTATACCCCAATGCCAATAGTGACTATGTCTTCACTGGGTTCTCCTCCAGCGGTTACGTGCTGCTCGAGAGTACTGGATATTTCCGCGTCAACTACGACGAACACAACTGGGAGCTGCTACTCGCTCACCTCAAGTCTGGAACTACGGTAAATCTTTTATTTTCTCAACGCACGTTACGGGAACTTAAAGAACACAGGAAGCGCATCACCCTTTTTTCCCTTCCTGTCGCCCCTTACACTTTTAAGAATTGGGAAACGGAGAATTGTAGATTCCGACTAATCTGATCCACGATAACTCTTACGACCTACACTTAGTATGTTGTGAGATCCCGGTACTGTCTTCGATAGCTCAGTACGAACGTCGTTGCTCCCGCAGCATTATTAAAAGGAAGGTCACAGGGTTCGAGCCCCGTCGAAGGCAGATTTCCGACACTAACTACATAGCTGAATCTAATTTAACCAATCTGGAGGAGAATTGAAGTGGCCGACTGCTCTGGTTGGTAATTTCCATGGTTTCTACGTTCTATAGCTGGTGAATGCCGGAGCAGTACCCTCATAATCGAGCCACAGACCGCACGCTACATTTCCCTTTTTGTTACGTCTGATTTATGTAGTAGCCAGGGTCGAAAATCTACGACCGTCGGGACTGGAACCTAGGACCTTCCGGTACGAGCCGCGGCAGGGTCTGCGACAATGCTGGCTCTGAGCTACATTGAACCGGCGTCATTAGTCTCTTTGCGACCAGGAAAACGAAATCCCTCCGGTGGACCGCGCACAGCTGGTGGACGACGCGCTGAACCTGGCGCGAGCCGGAGTGCGCACTTACAAGGACGCGCTGGCGTTCGTGGAATACCTACAATCGGAAACAGACATCGTGCCGTGGACAGCTGCAATCCGCGGGCTAAGTTTCCTCAAGCGTATGCTGGTCAACCAAGATCCGGACGGCAGCTTAAAGGTGCGTCTGCTATTCAATATCGAACAATGACATTGAATGGAATTGCGTGGTTATTTGACTTAATAAGATGACGTAATCTGGTAACGATTGTATTAATGGCTTAGAGCTATGTTATAGGGTTTGCATTACTTGCGGCCTGCCATATATGGCACTGAAAACGGCAGTAACCCAGTACGGTTTCAGTGAGATTGGCAAAATATTTTCGAACCCTAATTGTTTTATATTTCTATTTATTCTGTCAATTTTAATACATTACTTTTCTTGCTAAGTTTATTTAATTTCTAACCAAATCACTGAGCACACTAAATCGCGCGTAATGCCTATTGAATTTTCATCTAAACGAGGTATTTTTTGTTATTAGTCAATTTTTAATTATTATTTTTTTCATTTATGGATAGAAATTCGTGCTGCACATCATAACCACCGTGTACACGAGACTTGGTTTCACGAATACTGGCTCCCACCTCGACAAGCTGCTGCGTCTCGAGATACTGAAGGCCGCGTGTGCAGCAGGTGATACCCAATGCCTGACGTACGCCCTGTCAGCCTTCCGAAGCTTCATGGACAACGGCATACGGTCAGTAACTACTATTCGCAACAATATCCCAGAAAGTTGTAGGTCATTTCATGCTAGGAAATGAAAAACCATCGTCTTCCATTTTAAATTTATAAAGCCCCTTTATTCAACCATTTACAAGTTCCCTTGGTTACAAGAAATAGGTGATGTATACTACAATATGAATGACCATTTGTTTACTAAATTGCATAAATTAAAATGGATGTGCGTGCGAGTGAGAATGTTCCGTAAACTTGTTTGAGTCACTAAAGCGTGGTAGCTTGTATTTTGATATCGCTTTCTATGCGCTGATGTATTCACTTAGAGCATGCTGAAGTCAGTTCTGATGCTTGAAACTTCAATTTAAAGTTGGTGCGAGGAAATGGAATCGTATTATTGACTTCAATATACATTTTATTGGTTGAACGGCAGAATGCAAACGTACGAACCAACACTCTCGTGAATTACACAGAATTATAATTTTATCTCGTGTCTAATAAGAAAAAGTATCCATGTTTTGTTTGTTCTTCAATCCTTTATGTGTTAGAAGTTTTTATTATGATGCAAGGTAAAATAACTATAATTCAGGTGAGAGAACTCAGCGCTCACCAAATGATGCACGTCGGAAACGAAATCACCATATTAAAACATACGGAATAGTTATAGTTAATTTTCAAATGACAAAATGTTATTTCAAGATTATTTATTAAAACAATTCATAGTACACAGGTAATTACGTCAGATATGGGTGGTACATTAAAAGTAGTAATTGCTAAGAAGTGTAAATTTTGCACTTATTATTATAATTTCGATTTTTACGAGACGGATTGGCACAAACAAGTGATGCGCTACCTACAATTGATGTTTTTGCCACGTTTGTTTTTACAGTTACAAGCGAGCGCTGCTCCGATCAAGGATTGACCAAAGATTGTTTCTTTTCAACACTCGGCGAAGTCCATTTACCACGCGTGTACACTATTTATTCCGAAGTTTCATAATATCATATACTAATAAAAACTGGCGTCGCGGACGCTGTAAATTGTTTTAAATATGGTTATGGGTTGGGTTGAAAATTCCTTCCAAACTTTCAATTTATTTCATTCTTGCATGCCCAGCTTTGTTCAATCATGTTCTTTTAGTATCTGGCATCGGGCTTGCCAACGAATCGTAGTAGCTGATAATGTTATCCTCCTGTTCAAAAGTTCTCAATACCCAATGGCCTTGTGTGTTTCTTCCATACGGGATATGAACTGGTGTTATTGCAATTTCAAAATTATAATCGCCCTTACAAATACTCGCAGATTTTCATGCTAATTGTTAAATTTTAGTACAGCTACATTTTTGCTAAGGTGCACAAAAATGTACCCCTCATATTTGTATTAGCAAAAATGCTAACTGCAAAAATGTAGATCGTTCCCAATTACGTATTTCTAAAAATTCTGTCTTAATTATTTCTGTAAAAAACATCTTTTACAAATACATTATATTCTTCCCTCGTTTTCCATAACATTTCCATATTTTTCTCTCCTAATTTTTGAAGAGATTAAACGTTTACAAACTCAGTCTAATTTGTGTTTACTTCTACTTCTGCAATTGCTCTATTAATTTCTTTATATGCAAATCTAGCGTTGCATGCGAATCTATCATTAAAAGGCTACTGTTTTGTATGTTTTCTACAGCACGTCCTTCTGTGCGATGTAATCCCACGTATTCAGCCATTTTATCACTAATGCCTTTATTTGTAGACCTGAGCCTGACCTTCGAGAGGGCGTTTTGTGTTACGGTATTCAAGAAGGCTCAGCCGCAGACTGGACCAAAGTGTCACAGATACTGGCCACATCAGACATCGAATCGGAGCGAGCTGCCGTCATTTCTGGGTTAGGCTGCACAATAAACGCTGTCACACTGAAAGAGTAAGCACAACCATTGAATTGTAAGAAATCATAGACGAGTAAAAGTGTAATACAATTTTGGATCTATCAATTCGTTCTGACCAACAAACAATCGAAATGTAAAAAGGAAAGGTCTAGAACAGGTTATTAAGGAATGAACTATGTAAAATGTTGTACAGAAGATCACAAAATACATATTTACACATTACTCATATTTGATTGCTTTCAAATATAATTGGCAATTTTGCAGGTATCTTGATGGTTCCCTCACGAATGAAAATCTGCGAGAAAATGAAAGACCGGCTGTTTTCGCGGCAGTGTTTGCTAATCCAGTTGGAGTTAATGTAGCTTTGGACAAATTGGTGGCAGACTTTGACGACCTTCTGTCTGCGTAAGTAAATTAAAATTATAATACCTTTGTTTAAACTAAATGTTTTACAACAGCACATAATATTGAAATATTTTGATTTCTGCCGTACTAAAACCTTAGTTACGAGAATAACTTGATAAGCCTAATAAAGCACCTGTGCAGGAATGTAGTTAACTCTAACTCTTACAAATGAAACAAACCTGAAACACATTTTAACTATTTTACAGTATTTTACACATACAGAAAAGAAAGAATATTATTTCATATAAGCATTGATTGATTTGAGAGGGAGAAGGTAATATCCATTAATGCAAATATGATGCTACGAATATTAACTCGTATGTTTCAGTCACACGCCCTTGGAAAACGTTATCTGTTTTATGAATGAAACTGTCATTTACGACGAGATCTCACGAATCCCACGACCTCATTATTGTTCCTGTTAGCCATTAATTGATGACGATAAAAATATGCTTATTTTTACAGATATGGAGAAAACGCATTGGCAAATGTTGTAATAGATCTTGCAGAATATCTGGTCACCACTGATCAAGTGCAAAAGGTAAACTCCAAAACATAGCACTGTTATATTCATATACTTTTTCATGCGTGTATATTCACAATATACGCTTTCTCATTAAAATGTTGCAATTATCTCGCAGTATAAACATATTTTGGGAGTCTAAAATTTGACTTTACCGTCCCTTATAACTCTTGTATATTAGTTCAGTTTTAGTTCTAAGACAAGACTCGATGGAATCAAGTCGAAGACATCTCAATCCTGTTTGTTACTGGCACCAGAATATACGCCAAATACATAATTTTTATGAAAAAGTAAAATATCGATTCTTGAGAGAATGAATCTTGAGAAAAATTGCTTGACTGGTGGGATTAAATAATTTTATTCAAGCTTCACGTATTATACGTATTTTATGCTTTACAATTTTAAGTTTCGGAATGAATTTCGGTCATTGTATATCACGGCTTCACTACGAAAAAAGTGTTAGAATCTGGAAAAAAAAATATTTCTTTCAAAAGGTCAATATTTTTTCGAGTTGTACAACGTAACTTCAACAGCTTCACAAATCTTCAGATTTTTAATGTATTCTCCCTAATGCAATCTCTAGCACAACTTTCAATAATCATTACTAGTATCTATTTAAAAATTCATTGAATACAATTTAGTAATGTTAACAAAACGGCTTGATATAATTGCTATATATGATATGGAATATGGCATATCAATCATAGCTATCATATTATCTATCAATATCAACTTCTCTTGGTATTAAATCTAAATCAGGCTTCGATGAATTTGCTACAATCATGTTTCTCTGCATTGCACAGATGAGAGCTCTGGCAACCAGTCGCCCTGGGATGAGCGAACTCAACACCGCCTACCTGGTAGCAGACGAGAACGCCTTCTGGGTGTCACAGAATGCTCAAGCGGTCGTGGAGGCCTTGAAATCCGTCATCTCAGTAAGCACCACTTCATCCACTCCTACACCGACATCAGCAACCACACCAAATTCATCTGAGTAGACATCAGACAATTCAGTCACAGAACACTCTCTCAATCACGCCTGCAATACCTATACCCACGTCTCCCGATACTGTGGAATCATCTAGATCTGGATTATTCATAGGTTTGGGTGTGCTTCTTGTAATTGTTCTAGGTGCCTTGGTGGTGGGTTCAGCGTTAGTGTTCAGACGCTACAAAAATGATTTAACACTTAAATTTTATGCAAATAATGTAGCACAAAAATAGTTTAAATAATTTCATAATATTTACAATTTATTTCGCTACCTTTCGCTACCTTACGCTCCTCGATACATTTTGGAATTCTTATTATCAGTAGTTGCTTATGATCCCAAATTTAAAAAAAATCCTAATTACTTTAGTGGCAAGCAACCGAATCAAACAGAATTGTCAACGATAAATGATATTACCATATATCACGTTGTAATATATTTATTCTATGCTTCTTAGTCGTGCATGTTATTAAAACATTATTTATTAACACATTACGAATAATGTAAATCTTAAAGATTCTTCAGTTTTCTTTGTATTCTCTTAAAATGTGTTTTCATCTCTGCTTTACAGGCGAATTAGAAAAAACAAGGAGGAAAGTGACGACAGGAGGAAAATCTACCACTAGCATGAATACACTAATACAAGAACGAGGAGTTTCGCCCTCAGATATAATCACGAATACCGTGATTCACATGTGTAAAATTATCTCCTCTTCAAAACGAGGATACTTAAAAATATATTAATGGAAAAATAGTTACTATCACATGCTTGTATTTACCACAAACAGCAATCTTATCTTTTCACAATTTCCTAAGGCCTACTCTATCCCACTTACCATATCAATTCATTTCTAAAAGCAATAGGGCTAACAGATATATTCGATAATTTGGAAGTATCGGATAGGTAAAATAAAAAAAATTGGGCAATAGCGCTACAGAGATGTTGGTAGTAGACATTGGTGTACTTCCTGTAGTACCAAATTTCATGTTAATTTAAATAAATATTCATTGACATATTCATGATAATAAAATGACGAAATAGATCCGATTTATGACAAAGCAATGAGTAAGGAATGATTCTTAGGAGAATAACATGAAGTTGTCTTTATAGACAGCAGCATTGAATAGGTAAGATTCTCCTTTTAACTAGGGAATTTGTTACTTCACACAACGAGTTAAGTTCTTATAGGTAAATACAAAAACGTCTGTTTTAAATCTACATCCGCTTATTACTTCAAGTAAAAACGCATCTTTATTGCGTAAAAGTAGATGAAAACGGTTTTACATAATATGAATCAGTTCTTGAAATATCTATGCGGCCGTGGAAATATAACAATTGTTTTAGACAGAGATACATTGGCATTCAATGATGTAATAACCGCACAACTTTTCTTGGTCGATGGCTTGAAGAAATCCGGATAGAGTGAGGGTATTTACGAGTATTACGACATCAACTACTAGATTTTATGAAGCAACACCAATCTCCCGTCATTCTTTTGCACCTTTTTTTCGTAGTTCAAGGTATCTCCTGTGATGAATCTGTTATTTATTTAGATAGCTTTGGAAACAACACGATCAGGAGTTCTCGTCTTCAACAGCAAATCCTTTTCATAACGCGCCAACAAAGGTGTGTTTGGAATGTTGTCATCAGAGCTCGCTACGAGCGTTTACCTTCAACTGTTTATTGTGCCACGGAGGGGGAAGGAAGGCCATCGGTCAAGGAAAGTTGTGCGGGTAATCAGTACGAGTATTCAGTAATTCATTTTCTCGACATTTTTAGAGGGAGAGATTTCTCAAATTGAAAATTTGACATTGAAACCTGTATGTTGCTTATTGATCACATCCCAAACTTTCTTCAACTTTTCTTTAAACTTTCTTCCACATTGAAAAAAGCAACATTCTCTGTATTTGAAATTCCATATTTATGAAAATAAAAGTTTACCGAATCAGCTATTAATACGCAACGATCATTTTTAGAGACTAATAGTAAAAATGATTGCATAGTAAAAGCTTTCTACAAATCAACCACATTAGTTTTATAAACAGTAAGCATGAATTTAATTGGATTTGCTTGTAAAATTCCATCATAAGACTTGTCGAACTTGTTTCTATTTCAAAACATCAGAAGTATCAGAAGTCTACTGCCGACACAGAATATTATGCACATAAAGGCGGCGAAAATCATATTTCACAGCAATTAACATCTCTTCCAGTGAAATTGTTTCATTGGATTTTGATTGGGGATTATCTGCTATTTATCTCATTATTGATAAGGAATTCTAAAACACTATTACCTAATAAGTAATCAGGTACTGCTGACGAAAATCTCAAAGGTTTTATAGCGTTCTCTTATCGAAAGTAAAATATTGTAATAAAGGTTCCGCCTCGTCACAAAAAAATCTTAAACCTTCAATTTCCCCACCAACAAGTGTTGTAACTACGGAATGTTTTAACTGATAGAAGTGTTTCATACACCAAGTGTTTTAACTCGTAGAAGGTTATCTAAGCTCGTGGAGGGAGATATATTCTGTCAGTTATCCATTTGTTGACTTGGAATTCTAAAAATTACCGGTCGAAATCACAATATTTTTAAAGTTAAAACTACTTCCATACCGATCGATCCATTTTTTTTATCAAAACCTTCCGTGGACTTATATTCCTTCAAAACATCCTATTCAGTAGCCAAAGTGAACCTCAAACTCAGTCTCCCAACCAACAAGTGTTTTAATTAGGTTATCTAAGCTCGTGGTGGGAGGTATATTCTGTCATTTATCTATTTGTTGACTTGGAATTCTAAACCTTAGCCACAATTTTTTTAAAGTTAAAACTACTTTCCTACCGAACGATCCTTTCTTATCTAAACCTTCCGTGGACTCACATTTCTTCAAAACATCCTATTCAGTTTTCTTATCCGAAAGTGAAAGGCTCTCTCTCAACATTCGTAACCAAAGTGAACCTCCAACCTCCAGTTTCACCGCAAACAAGCTGTAAATGCCCGAAAGAGCAGCAGATAAAACACACGCGGTGAGTTAGCGGACGCACTTCTCGCGCGGAACCCAACACCAATAACGAGCGAGCAAGACGCCGCGCCGCGCCGCGAGTGCCCTTAAATAAGACAAAGCGCGCTCCCTTTGCCGCTGCCGAAATGCAATATTACGGACATAAATTAACGCCGCCACACGTGGCGCGCATTCCAACACCTCCATCGCCCCGGAGACGTCTGCCCGGGGCTCCCGTAGCGGTTTTTTCTCGCGTATTGGGTTTCCCTCTGCGACGCTCGCAGCGCTGGATGCCGATCAACTCAATCGTGATGCAATGGAATGCGTGAGCTGCTTCGGCGCACCGAGTTTTTGCTCGTTCTGCGCAGCGCCAGAAACGTCACGAAGCACGTGACCACAACAGGCGTACTTCGTTTGAAAATCCAGGCCCCACGCTGGCCGCCATGCTGCATGGCAACGAAAAGTATTGAAAATCATTTAGAAAGTGGCATACATTGACAATTTCCTTGATGACCAACCAAAAATGACAATAGGAAGGCGTAGCTGAAATAAAAGACGCAATATTTTCAAAGAATGCTTCATATATCTGCTTCAATCACTTGTAAAAATATTATAATTTCGGCATTTTTAATTCTTGCTAATATTGTGTCGTAATACTGTATCATTTTCTCAAAAGCCTTACAAACGACAATGATAAGCAGACAAATGCAAACAGATAAAAACGCGATTCAGCCATATTGCCTTGGTATTTTAGGTCAAATGTGAATTGTCAGTCATTTACCCCCCTCCCCATGAAATTTTACCTTCCTACGCAGAACACTAAGAGTTCAAATGTACTTTCTTCGTACAAAAAAAAAAGTATATTCAAGCAAATCAGTTGAACACCATAATTCTTTCCTAATATTTTCTAATTTCCCATAATTCTTTAATAGTACTTAACATCATGCATAGTAATTTGGATTGGGTGTGTTGTCACGCCCTGAAACAGAAAATACGCTGAACTTTTGAAAGAAATTGTTCAAACTTGTTGTCATATGCGTTGAGCTAGCAATCGCACGTTTACTTGTGAAAATACTCATATTAAAATATCCACAAAGAATTACTAATGAAAAGTGGAAGATGAATGTTTCTATCTCATTATTGCCCTCTGAAAATAATTTAGCTATTTTTTCGAACGACCGACCATTTTCATGTCGTTTTCATTTTTCTGTGTGCCACTTTGCAATATTTCTTTGTTACGTGGACGATTTTCATTTCACGAATGTTTAAGCAAGAAGAAGCAACTAGTAATTACGCTCTAAGAGTAGTGTCAAGTTCCGAAAATTCGATATTAATATTTAAAGAAGGTATTCTAGTAACAGAACGACAGATATTTTGAAATTATAATAATAATAATCATAATAATAATTATAATAATAATAATAATAATAATAAGAAGAAGAAGAAGAAGAAGAAGAAATAAATTATTAAATTATTTCTTCATTACTAAATTAATATTTGAAATATACAACGAGTACGACACATTCCATCGTGTACGATAATGATATTCACTGACGACATTTTGGAATTTTTTGTAAATAATTGTATACTTCTAGATATCAAATACTATGAGCAACATACTCAATATTTCTCTTTTCACCTCTACAATTATACCTGATACGAAAAGGTAGATATTGAAATAAATCTGTCCAAAGAAATACAGAAATATAAAAAATGCTCACGCACGCCAAAGTAGAGAACACAAACCATTCCCAGTCTATCCCCCGCCCATAAACAGTGGAATCACCGAAGCGCACTGCCCGGTTCCTCACACGGAGACCAAATACGTTCCGCAGGCCCCTGCCCCCTGGAACAGGGCACGTGGGGAGGACACGTGTGGCGTAGTTTCAATAACTCTCGCCCCACCTCCTCCGGCGTCCGGCGTCCGGCGGACTTGTAAAGCTAACGCATCCTCGGACAGGAAAAGGGAAGTCGGGAACAGAGGGTGGCGCAGCGCGGCCGGGCCGGGCC